GGAGAAGGAGAAGGAGAAGGAGAAGGAGAAGGAGAAGGAGAAGAAAAAACTGGGTGCAAGAATTAGCCTCAGAGGAACAACTCCACCAGAAACCTTTGTGCAAGAAGAGTCCTAGAAGCTAATCTTGCCATGGAGAGCATTCTGGAAATATAAAAAGAATTCACAAACATTCTCAACTTTGATGAGAAAGGGTGCCCTGACACATCAAAAAACTTCACTGATTGTCAATTACTGCACATAAAAACCAAAACAGAACACTGAACTTTCCTTCCTATTTTTCATTTTTATGAGGATTTTTCCAAACTCCCATCAGATTTTGCAAAAATACAATGTTTTCGCCCATTTTTTGAACAAATTAAATTTTCTCAAGAAGTCCCAAAATGATGGTTATGCTGTCACAAAAACTGTTTTTAGATTCAGATTCTCAGTTTCAAGACACTGACTCTGAAGGGTAGAGTGACCTATTGCTATCTGCTCTTCAGATTCAGTGTCTTGAAAACTGTACAGAGTCAGAGAATCCATAGAGGCAGCACTTTAGGAATGGAGCTTCTTCAGACATCCATAGTTTCCTCAGATGAGGGGGGAACCAGAAACACCAAGCCTATGGGCAGGTCTATTTAGGCATCCAGTTGACTCCACATCCCAGTTTGCTGCATCTACCCTAAACTTTGCCCTGCTTTGCTTCTCTGTTTAAACTCTTGTTTTGTTTCCACTTTGCCTGTGGACTCCACAAAGTGAAGACTGTCCCTTGCCTGAATTCCACTTGGAGCTGCCCATGGTCCAATGTGCTTCCTATAGTATGGTTTCCCTGTTCATTAATTATAGCAAAGGGTATGATTGTGGATATCATGAAAAACCATGTGCTGCTCTAAAAGAAATGGGTGTGCCACATTATTTGATTGTCCTGAAGTATAAACCTATACTTTAGACAAGAGGGCATATTCAGGACACAATACAGGGGGGAAAAAAGACTGTTTTCCATTTGGCAAGGTGATCAAACAAGGGTGCATTTTATCATCCTCTTTGTTTTACGTATACACAGAACAGATACACAAAAGAGAATTAGAGGAAGGAGGAGTGAAATTTGGAGGACAGCATGAGCAATTTAAAATATGCAGCTGATACCATATTAATAGCAGAAAATAACAAAACAAGGAAAAACTACTAATGAAAATCAAGAAGTAAAGTGCAAAAGCAGGGTTGCAATTCAATATTAAGAAAAAAATATAAGGAACTCAGCTTACTTACAGAACTTTAAAGTGGGTGATGAAGGCATCAAAATATTTAATAATTGTCTACAATTTGGTTGAGTCATTAATCAAATAGAGGCTGTGGTCAAGAAATCAGAAGATGACTTAAGAATCTCAAGAACAGTTATGAAGGAATTATGTGAAACCATCAAGTGTAAATATATATCATTAAAGAGCAATAATCAGTCATCTATTCCATGATTATTTCCATTTCTATATATGGATGTGACAGTGAACACTAACAAAAGATGATGGGAAGAAACTGCCTCGGCAGA